AAAAAACATCGATTGGATTCCACTGGTGTGAGAAGATTAATCATCCGCCTGGATTTCCAACCAGCCTCTTCCACCCTGGGTGAAGCCTTGGCATTAATATTTAAAATTCTTCTGACCGCTTTCTGTTTTAATTAGCAAGTGGAAAACTCCCTGGCCTGTGCCAGGAAAATAAAAAAAGTCCTTAAGATCAAAGTGGGCTCTAATTCACGTTTCTGTTTGCCACGTTCAAAGGAGCCTGTTGGTAAAACGAGTGTCGTATTTGATGGAAGGACATAATTCATCAGCTGCAAAAGGTGAGTGCCGTGTGATCCCAATTCAAAGTGGCTAAAAGCAGGGGAGAGCACTGGGGATTTTGCCAGTACATCCACAATGGCAATTTTAGGCTCCTTATGGGGGAAAAAATATCCTTGCCTCAAATCTTACTGTAAATGTATCGACAGGATAAATAAAACATTCAGGATCTTCTACTAAATAATAAGAAAGCCCAGGAAACTGTGTAGCTCAAGGGAAAGTGTTAAATTCTTCTGTTGTATGCTCAAAGGAGTGGGAGAAAACGTATTTGTTTTGTAAAAGGAGGCGACTTGTGAAAGTGAGACCCCCCAAGTCACCTGCAAGTATCCCCAGCGCTGGATTCACCCGGCTGCAGAACAAGGGCTGGAGCGAGGGAAATGCCAGTCTCCTCGGTGAAGGGCTGACCGCTCAGAAACACGAATCTGGAAATGGAAACCTCCAGACTAGTACTTACGCTCAAAGCTATGGCCACCAAAATGACTTTGCTGGCCCCAACTGCATTTTGCTTCATACCACTCTCTCTCTGGTCCCGTTTCTTCTGCATCACAGCAAGGATTCGTAGCCCTGATGCTGATGTAGAGAGCCTGGGCTCTGCCTCCGCTCCATGTTAAAAGTAGTTGTGGAAAAAAATTCCTAAAGAAAGTAAAAGCTCAGTTTAAGCATCACTGATTTTCTTGCTGTCTTTTCGTGCCTTGTCAGTGCATACTCACCCCAGGACCACTTGTCCAGAAATATCTTCCTCTGGCAGAGTTGGAAGTTGAAGCATTTTCACACAACCTGTCCTGAATTTTTGACTCGCCAAGCATAGGGCTGAGCTCAGAACGCAGCAGACTTCTCTGCCTGGGATGTCACCAAGCATCTGGAGTAAAACCCTTCCCACGTCCTCAAACACACACAAAAGCACAGTGGCCTGCACAAAAGGAAGGGAAACTCTCAAAGGAGAAGGGGAACAACCTAACAAGTTTTCTGAAAATTATTTGTGAGCCTCATCTAAGACAGCAGGGGTAAAAGGGTCCCAGGTCTGCTATGAGAGGTGTGGGAAGTTCCTAGGAGAACAAGTTGTCCATATTATGGAAGGCATCTTGGTCCGCAGTGTGGTTGAGAAACGATGAGGAGCACGGAGCTTCCTGACCACGCAACAGAAACATGTATTTTCTCAGAGCAGCCTTGCCTGGACAAATGTCACCAGCAGAAGGCAGAGCTTCTGAGATTGTCCTGGAGACCCAGGTGTGAGACAACACAAGGAAGCTCAAGCTTTTACCTTCAGCACTGAAATTGCTCCAGCTACACTGAAGCAGTTCTGATGTTTTACTCATCTTCCTCATGAACCAAGATAGCATTATCTATAAAAACTAAAAATGTGTCATTGTAAGCACTCTTTGCTTTTATTATTAGCTCTCCAAAAGATCAAAATTTCTATACGCCTTCACGTGCTCCCTGGTAGGAGTTATCTACCACACACAAACCCATCAAATCTGCACTAATCTCAGCCTTGTGCTAGATTTAAAATGATTCTGTAAAAAAAAAAAACCAAAAATAAAGTCCTCTCCTTTAGTGGCTCTCAGTGGCAGATGTCAATACCTTCATCATCACCTCCAACAAAGACCGGGAATAAGCAATGAAGGTCTGCAATGGGAGCAATCTCACACAGCCTGAAAATCAGCTGAACGATGGCAGCCAAAGGATATTAACGAGTATCCATCATAAAAAAGAATGACCGCAACCTTCACTTTGGGATTTTGCACATATGCCTCAGTCACAGCCAGAAGAACGTCTTGGATTGGGAGGGGAAAACCAGATCTGGACAGCTGAATTCTGCTGTTCCTCAAGCAGCTCTGCCAACCAAAACCCAAGGGTATTGGCAAAAGTCGGGGTGAATGGGGGAATATCCCTGCCTGACTCCCTCGGGAGGGAGCAGCACTCCCGGAAAGCCCAGTGAAGGAGCGGTTCTGGAGGAGAAGCCAAAGGAGGCACCCCAGGGCTGTAAATGGAGCAGGTGAGACAGAAGGGAGGGGAGGGGATAGCTGACACTGGGTTGGGTAGAGGTGAGGGAGGGATGAAGAACTAAGAGGGGCAAAAGGCTGCGATCTGACACAGGGAGCATGGGGGTCTGGGTGCAAGATGGGGGACTACAGCCAGAGAGAGCGAGAGGCACAGTAAGGGCGGTGTTTTTTTTGGTGGCGATGAACCCTCCAGAAGAGCTGTGCATACCACCAACCTTAAGGAAAGGTGACAAAATTGCCTACCACAGGCGTATTTGCTCCCACCTCCTGGAAGCCACGGAGGAGGCAGCAGCTCTCGGTACACCCTCCTGAGATGCCTACAGGGAGCTGAGCACCATCTTCCTGGGCAGCCTCCCTACGGACACCCAAACCTCTATCAAGGAACCGCGGTATTTCAGGCTGACTCACCACTTCCCACCATCTCCTGAGCAAATCTACCCTTGTATTCCTCTTTGCAAAATCAACTTCTTTTGCAAGAGGTTCGACATGATCAAACAGACACTCATCATATGATCAAACACATAAATTAGTCGTGCCACATCAGGTGGTAGGAAACGTTGTCATTTTGGTCACATCAAGCCCAACCGCCTGGCCACGTGGTGGGCAGAGCTGGAGGCGTGCAGATTTTCACTGCCTTCATAACTGGTTATGTGGCTTTCCCTGTCTAAAAAAGAAACATTAAATAACGTCCCCCCATATTGCATAATTACCTGTGGAAGTGGAGAGCTGAAGTTGTCAGCCAGACTGCTGTGGCATTACCTCCTCACTTACACTGCATTAGGACTTTATTTTGTAACAAATAAATACAATTTAAATGATCTGTCACATTCCTGGCATTCCTTCGCCACCAAGTACTTCACTTATGACTCCAGATGGCTTATTAACAACCACATAGACAAAAAAATCACTTTTTCAAGCAGCAAGTGTTTATTAAATAAATACAATTTAAATGCTCTGTCACATTCCTGGCATTCCTTCGCCACCAAGTACTTCACTTATGACTTCAGATGGCTTATTAACAACCACATAGACAAAAAAAATCACTTTTTCAAGCACAAATTGTTTATTATTGGGAAAAACATTAGGACTTTATTTTTTCTCTTACATATACTTGATTTGAATAAAAATAATTTAAAAATTTCAATTTTATATTACATGAAAATAACTTGAAACAAGGACTGTGAATTTTGGAAGCAAGAAAACATAGACAAAACTGCTGTTTAGCTGCTGAGATGTAGTCCTTGGAATATTTTTAACTCTAACAGAAACAATCACAATTGTCATTCCAGTGAAGAAAATTAATCCATCTATAAAATATCTTGACATTTGAGAATGGTATATAGTTACACTAGAAAGTATTCATAATATAGTCTGTGAATTCTAACATATTACCTAAAATATATAACTTCTCAGACTTTACAAGGTCAAATATTTTAGACTGTATTCCAGTGGAAAAACACTACAAACCTATTATGATCACTTTAAAGTTCTCGTTGAATTAACTTTTATTTTCTTTTGAGGAATTTTAATAATATTTCAAGCAATAAAATATTGCATACAAGCTAGCTTGTAGAACTTTATTCACACTAACTCGGACAACTGCTGTTTTAAAGGGTGAAGCACCTTTACTAAGAGTGATAAAGCATCACTGTTACAGTAGCTGATGAAGAAGCAGATTTTGTGCACAGATTGGTACAATTTTCATGACATTTCTGTAAATCCGATAAAAATTACTGTACATTTGGTAATAAGAAATTAATCTAATGGGAATTAAAATATGCTTAAGGCTGGGGTAGGATTACAGTGTTACAAGACAAAGATTCTATTAATTAATCAAATTCATATCATCTGACAAAGACTTGCAATAAAATACTGATTTCTTCTTCTTTTTTCTTTTTAAAATACAGCAACCTACTGCAATTTCCATTCCCTGGCTTACCTTGTCTCTTTTCTGTTGAATGTGAATATAGTTCACCTTTTCATTAAGTTCTAGGGTAACAAACATCATTCAGCATCACCTGAATGGATTCTAATAAAAAAGGCCCAAAAAGCAAAAAAAGCAATTAGCATGTCAAGGTCTCACTTTAGAACACAAACTATTATCTGCAGAAATATGCAGGGTAAAAATGAGATGGAATTTGCGTAGGTAGTTATTTGCATTGAGTACCATATTAAATTTAATGTAACTGTCCCAGTCGTGGCTGTCTGATGGACTCACGGAAAACCACTCCTTCACCAAGTACAAGGAAAAAACACTATTAATACGACCATCAAAACTGTTCTCTTCTAACAGTCTAACCTGAGGGGTCAGTTCTCTTTTAAAGAAATGCTTGAAATGCTGGCTGGCATTGCAGTTTGACAAACAACCCAATGCCATCTAAAGCAACAATGTCAAGCCCTTTAAAAATAAACATTTAATTTCAGTATATTTTGAGGGAGTTTTGTTTTGTTTTGTTCTTGGCTTTTTTATTTTTGTAACTGTCTGCTGTTTCCAGCACCATCTCAGAGGCTGGAATGTTTCATTCCTTCCTCTGCCGGCTTTGTCATTTTCCACTTGGCAGATACTGACCACCACACCCCGCTGCTCCTCATGGCGCAGCAGTCACCGGTACCGCCTTCTTATTTTCCTTGTCTGTTATCCGTACCGTCAGTGGGATTTACAGCCCTGGAATGTGATTTCTGAATTAATATGCATTTTCTTTTCCTAAGGAATGCATTATTTTGCAACCATAGCTGTGTAAAAAAACTGTAATTTTAAATAATGAGTGGGCAGTAGCTCTTTTGAGATAAATCAGTGATGTAATTTAGAAAAACAAGGAGGCATTTTCACCTGACTACAATGTTTTTAAGATCAGGTAAAATTCTGGACTTAAACTATGCCATTTGTCTTCCTTTCTAAATTAAGAATTACTTTTAGTTTTACCAAGAAATATTCTACTGGTATAAACTAGAGAATTTTTGAAATTATTATGCATATTTATGTTTTACTTCTCTTCTCTAAATATATTACTCATTTGTTTAATTCATTCAAGAATCTACCATACCGTCAACCAACTACAGTAATCCAGAAATATATTCTGCTTATGGAAAGGGCTTAATCACTAAGCCACACTTTCCTGTAGAGCTTCAGTATTTTTGATTGCTGAAAAGCATTTCCCATTGAAGTAATACTGAAGTGGAGCCCAGGCACTCCTCCATATATACGACTGTTAAGTTAATAGACTTTTTAGGACAAAACGCTGATCACATTCAATGACAAGATAGACTATCGTTTTGTAGACAGCTCCAGCGGTAGCTCTGGTGGTACAACAGTGTATCTTGGGTCAAGCTTAGGTGTGAAATCCTTGAAGTTCTTAGATGCTTCAGTACCAAATACATCTAAAACTTTCCTGTTCATGAGAGCAAACCTGAAAAGGAGAGACAGGAGAGCGTGAACGGATCATTCATTTACTTATGAAAAAAAAAATTATTTCATTTCATGAAAGACTACCCAAATCTCTGAAATACAGGCTTCAGCCTGCACCATTTAGAGACTGCGAGTTTTTCATCTTGGGCAATAAAGATTTTTTAAAAAATACATTTGACAAATCTGATTAATAGTGCTTTGTGTAGATATACTTTATATAACACAACCTGTGAAAAAGGGGAGAGTCCCCTTCTACTTCTAACGCCACAAAAAAAGGTCAAAACAAAATATACTACTGCTCTCTCTCACCCCAGCAGAGAAAACTCTGGCCATGCTTGCCCAAATTTGGGTAACAATTTCAGGGGTGTTACAGCCTATTTCCATTTCTTTACTCTTCAAAATTGTAGAGTGAAAGACCTATGAAACATCAAAAGAAATTGCCTCTATGGCGAGAGTGTCAAAGTTACGATTACACAGATTTGCTTCAGACGAAATAAATGAGCAGAACAGAATTTCTTCTCCCTCCTCTCTTTCAACTAAAGCAATCTCAGGATTAGCACAAGAGGGAAAAATGCAGCCAAAAGTGGACATCTGCACTAACATCATCCCCTGTATCATGTTTGGATGGCCTCAGAGGTTGCCTGCAGACTGCCTCCAGGCATCCCAAGGAAAGCTTCCCATTATGTCTAGCAACGTATTCAGTCACCTCATGTCCAGACATGGTTGTACTGTGCCATAGGGAGTGCAGGTTCAACAGGTTCCAGGGACTGGCCTCTGATTTCACTTCTATTTTTATAGCCTGGAGAGCTCACTGTCACAACAAACGTTACCTCTTATAATCCCATTCATAAACTGAGCTACATCAAGATTTGGATGCCCTGCTTCTGCCACATACTACATCAGTACAGTATTGTACACTTCACTAAACTGTATTTTTATAAATCAGTTACAGCAAAATCTATTTTAAAAGGTAAGCATTTTAGATCCCCACAGCAAATAAGAGAAAAAATATCCACTAAGACATTACAGTGTAAATTTATGGTTATAATCAGTGAAAATTTTTCATTAGTTTTCCTGATGTCCTATAAAAAACTATTGAATCTTCAAAGTATTCTTAGGAAATACTCTGACATTTCTAGTAATGTTTTTAAACAGGTAGTAATACCATGTTGTCGATCACTGTACATACTAAGTGACTTCTTCAACCTGTATAGTCGTTTACTGGATTCCTCATATTCCACTGAAACCTGAAAGCATTCCACCCTCCAAGTAAACTAAAGATAAAAAGCCTTCAAGTAAACCACTCATCTGCTAAATAGTCTTTACAAGATTTAAGTCTTTGCTCCTGTCATTAGGCTAAACCTAGTAACATCGCTTCAGCAGCAAAGAGCTTCAAGGGGACTGGAAACCATTTGAAAAGCAAACTAAATACTGAGGAAATGAGCCCATGTGTACTCCTACGGCTCTGCTGTTGACAGTGAATGACACAGAAAGTTAAATGTGATCAAGGACGTGTTTAGACAAGCCATAACATACCCCTGATTACATACCTGCCCTTTGTTAGTCGTAAAAGAAATTTCCAGTATGAAGGTCTCAGGTTCTGAACTTCCATGACAGCCTGCCAGGAGAGTATTTTGTCAGAGCCAGCTGACAGCATCAGCCAAAAGCTTCATCTGCTACATTATGTTGCCAAAACCAGTGAAAGCATAGTTATGGAAATATATTTATATTTTTTAAATTTTTTTAAAATCATCTCATGATTCATGGACCAAAGACAGCTGTAATGATCTGCCAATGTCCAGCACTATCAGTACACAAACTGCTCACAGCTGAGTTCAATGCTCTACATGACCATCACTTGTCAAGCACCAGACAGAAGACAACTGCTATAGTGTCATTTTATATTCTCTTTATTGAGAGGTACAAAAAATACATATAGTTATGGAGGTGTAGGAAACATTCAGTGGGATGTTTCAGCAGAAGGTCTAGAAATGGAGAGATTTAGTAGAATAGTAGAGTAATTTGGGTGCCACTGAAAAGGAGCTTTTCTAGCTGATGCAGCTGATAAAAGAATGGCGTGTGAAGGCATGTAATTGACTTGGGAAGTGCAAAACATGGTAACTACAGCTTGTTTTGAACATAAAACTTCAGATTTTCTTAATAATTTTTGCAGATTTTTTCAAATAGGCAACTTTAATTCAAGTTAGCTGAAAGTGAAAAATATTACAATATATTGTTTGTCTCCTTGAGAAACTGTCCTTTCATATACTTATTAAAGCCCATACATTTATGTTCATCTTCTGGGTGTATGCATTTTAAGATACTTTCCAAAGAATTCAAAGTTTTGTATAATGTATTCAGCTATAAGCATATGAGAAATTTGAGTCCTAGAAATTATTTTCCCACAGTGACACTCAAAAGCAGGATGTAAGAGCCCCGATTCAGAGCATCTTCCCGGAATCACTACATCACACCATCTTTTCTATATCACTGTATCCCTGTGCTCCTCATTTCATTCAACACTTGACTTAAACTAAAAGAACTTTATGTTGTTTTAGAAGACAACATACTTACTGCCTGAAAGCATATCGATGTAGAAATGGCATAGATGATGCTGTCTGCATGAGGAAAATAGGGAACCTTCCCTGCTTCAATGCCTTTGAAGTACATAGTCTATTAAAATAAACAAAAAATGCTGAATGAAACAAAACAAAGTAAAAGTAGCTTTTTATTTTTTACCTTTTCAAAAAAACATGTCAACATTACTAATCTATGCTCATACTTTTTGTATATGTCCACAAATGTGACATTGATTGAGATAGCTTATAGAAATTATCCAAGATCAATAGAATAAGAGGCTATTAATGTATAGAAGAGGATCTAGCAAGGTGTTAAAAAAGTAGTATAGATGTTAAAGATAAAAAAGGGAAAGTTTGCTACGTTAAATTCTTCATTTTAAAAAAGCAAAAGAACAATGCAATAACGATTCCAACAAAGTGAATATTCACTGTTCTTAAACAGCTTGAAATCACATACTTTTCTTTCTGAGAAAACATGTAAAGTTTATTTTCCTGAGCACAGCTTGACCTTCCAAAGCAGCACACGCCTCTTTGGTCAGTTACCCTTGGCTTGCGTAAGATGATAAAAGTAGTCAAAAAAAAAAAACAAAAAACACAACCCCAAAAAAAGAAAGAACGAACACACAGCACTTTTCTTACTTCACTGCAGCCGCAATGTCTCAAAGTCCAGAGAAAACCATCAGCAATACAAGATAATATTGGTTTTTTACAACTAGTGTTCTAAAAGTCAATATGGATAACTCAGATTTGCTTTTATATAACAAATATGTGAACTACCTTCAGAGCTTGATCTAGGATTACAAGCAGCATGAATAAACAGAGTATATCTTCCCTTTTTATGTTTAATTTTATGCTTAAAAAGAAAGTTCCTTCTTTTTATATTCTTTGAAATGAATTCTGCTCTGGCAATGGAGGTGGATAAGTATCACTAAGGAATGAGATCCTCGAGGTCTGCAGGAGAAAGCTTTGTGATTTGGGGATGGTGCATAATAAGAGAATGGTCTCAATGTTGGGGAAATAACCATGACTAAGTCCTGATTTTATGGAAAAATCACAGTAAGAAATCAAAAGCTGGTTAGCAAAGTATAATCAACATACCCACAACCTACAAACTCTTTTTTTTCTGGGCTCCTAATTTTAACAAGCTCATAGAAATAATTCAAGCCTGAAAAAATATTAATGAGAAAAAAGTTTGTCGCAAAGCTAGGAATTCAATCAGTTGAAATATATTGACAAACAACTCCAGCTATAGACTAAAACCTAAGATATTCTCAGTTATCTTAGATCGTTGAATGCCAAAATTAGGGAACAAAGGCAGGAAGTTAAGCTGTAGCTTTTGGCAATAAATCTGCAATTAAGGACTAGGTCTGATTTATGTTTCTGGCAGAAGAGATATTCTTGGAACTTTCAGATTTAAAAAAATCTGCAAAAGCTACAAAGCAAAGGGCTATCAGGAGATTGAAAAAATTCATGGAGAATATACATGGAGACCAGCGGATAAAGGACTTTAAAAATGAGTCACAGAAAAGAAAATAAGAAAGAAATGAGACCACAGAACGGCACTGCCTCTTGGCACACATGTACTGAAACACACCACCACCACACAACTTTGTATTATACTGGAATTGTCTGACAAAGCCTGTGAAGTTCATTTTCTTTTTCTGCCTTGAAAAAACAGATGAAATTAAAAACTCTGTTATGAGGGTAATAGCTTACCTCGACTAATTTGGACACCAGATACATTGAGATAGTAGTACTTTTGTAAAACATCATAGAAATTCCTGCTAGACACCCTGTAACAATTGGAAAAGAGAAGTATTGTTAAGATTGTGATTTATTGTTGCTGTTGCAATGTCAGCTCAACAGACACTGCACAAGATTATGCTTTCAGTTGCTACAACAAAGTTCAGTAATGTTCCTGCGCTGCCCATCAAAATATGGTTTCTGTCATTAAAAACAGAGAGTTTTGAATCCCTGAAACAAATCTGTAGTTCAGCGCTCAGGAGCACAGTATTAAACTTCCTCTCTCTTCCCACAAAGAAGAGAGACCTCTGCGGTTCCAATACATGACAGATGCATAAACAGCAGGGAAGGGCCTGCACCATCACACAAATTTCATGGCAAAAGCGTCCTCTTTCTGAGCCGGTGGAGCCCATCCTTTCAAATGTGTGTTCTGTCAGGTATGGAAGAGTCAGTATTTGAACCTCTACAGTTGGGGAAAAAAAAAGGACAAGTTTACATTTGTCCATACAGTAATATATTGTCCTTGAAGCTGACCATAAAAAACACACCATTTGATTGAACTTGCCTTACAATTTTAATTGCAACTCTTTATTTGATGCTACTTGACACAACACTGTCCCTTTCACACAATCTTGATGTACACAGTCCTATTTTCATCACCTAAGTCTGAAAAGGGAATGAGAGGATGGACAAAAGAAACATCTGCAGAGTTCCAACAGAAGCAATGTAAACTTCTTTTCACGGACTCACCAGCTACAAGTGCATGAAGCTCATCATCTAGGTTTCGTACCCAACGCAGGAAGCAACTAGTACCCTGTGGGTAAACAGAGAGCAGGATTAGCCCTAGGTATTTTTCTTTCATAATGCATAGACTGGAGATATTCCTCTATATAGCATACGGTATGAATTGAGTATAGTGTGATAATACCCATAATCTACACTACCTGAGACATTTCAGTGTGTTAACGAACAGTTTACCGCTACCATTTCTTTCAAAATCAGAGAGCAAATAATCTAATTTGAATACCAAGCTAATTCCAAAGATAATCTTGAATTCACATAATCTTCATCTGCTGTAGTTGTCTAGACTCT